CTTCTCTAGTATTAAGTAATATAGTAGTTAGTAGTAGTACGTCTACTACTAGTACTATTAGTACTACTATATATATATATATATATATATATATATATATATATATATATGGTCATTGGCGCGTTTCTGCCACACACTCCCGCAAATTATGAAGAAAACTAGTCGACCCGATATGTATACATGTAATCATCAACACACACATATATATAATATAATGTCTTGTTTATATGTGCTGATCTTAGTGTAATTTCTCTTACAAAGCTATACTTGCAATTCTAACTAATTATTACTAATTGCTCCTGGTTCGCATAAACAAGTTCTTCATATACATTCTTTCTCGAGCGTATTTCGATACGTATAGTAGCTAGCCTTGTCTTTGTGCCATTTTAAGGCAGCACGTCATTTCTTTTAAGCTTTAGGCAGCCGCAATGAATGTTTCTCAGTCACCTCAGTGACGACTATTTCTTTACTATCCCATCGCAGCTACAATTTATTATCCCTCAATTATAGTCCCTGAGTGATAGCTTAGCATTTGATATGTGTCCTGAAGGAGTATGCTCTCATATATGCATCGATGCTCGTACAATATAGTAGACAGTGACCTGCATTAACTTTTGTGTATTAAGAAAAACATGATGTACAGCGGCATGTATTTTTTGTTGCTCGTGCCTTGCACATAGATCTCTATAATTTGTATCCGTGCAAACCAAGCAAAACATAGTATATAATGCAATATGTATCGTTTAGTTCGCTTGCTCAACTACCCGCGTTCTTACTACAGAGCTTTGTGAAGGTCGGTGGAATGGTCAATTGCACTCCCGATTTCACCGCCCACCCTTCTGTACTGAATGGTACGTCTCGATCGACCGTCCCTATGTAGTGTGGATGTATGGGCTTAAGATAGCAAATAGTGTCTCGTTTCAGTGTTCAAATCCATAATTATGTACTTTTGATTTTCTCAAGTTCCACCACGCAATCGAAGTGATTTGCATGTCGCCTGTGTCGCTGATTTGTTCGTTGTAGGTGGCACGGGCTTACATGCGTAGGGCTCGTATTGAGGTTTATAATTACATATTTGTTTGTAAGTTTCGAAAAGTTGATTATGCAGAGCCACCTGAGGGAAAGGTAGGCATGTTATGGTGTGCTTCTATAGTTTTGTATCATCCGTATTGTACCGAGTTGACGAGATTTCACGCCGAATCGAAGGTTGTCAACAGATGTTTGGTCGTTTCATTTCAATTTGTGCAATGATGTACTATGAACACTTGCGATTCATCAACAGATTGATTCACTCGCAATTAAACCCGTTCTATGTCCACAAACATGAACATACATACATACACACACGCATACTTATATTTTTATATATTCATTTGTGAGTGTTATTATGATAAAATATATGTTACTTTCACCCAGGTTATCTCTTAGGGGCTGATTGGACAGTTTATTCCAGAATAGCGGCACCCTATATGTATATTTATATACATATATATATATATGCTCGCACAGAATGGAACATGACTGCATACACGAATATACAGTACGCATTATCATATCTTTTAAGACCAACTGATCTTGTTTTTGCCATCGTATCAGGTGTATCCGATCTACTTGTCGAACTATATGGTCCCGAGAAAGGACAGCACACCCGTGTGGCTGCCGGATTCAGTTCCTTGCCTTTGGGAGTACCTGTGGAGGTGGACATGATTGTGGAGCTTGAACGCCCGAAGAGAGCTCCCCTGGGAAGGTATGTATCTCGATTGGGAAACTACGTTGCAGTTATAGTATGGTGACTGTGTTGTGTCTATTTTAAGCCGTTTTCTATCATAGCTGCGTTCGTGTATCCCATAAATATAGGTATTGGTGTGTACCGCAACACCATTCGTTAAATGGCTACAAGTGTAATCTTCTAGAAGATGCGCCGTAAGGCTATGGTATGAGCCTAGAATTTCACCCTCTCGGTGTGGCTTTGATTGCTGAGAATTCCTGCGATTTAGTGCGAGTACTGGACTGCCATCTTTAACGATTTGGCCCGGATTCGCACACAGAAGTTATGGTAACGCTAAGCTGAAACAAAAGGCCGGTTTCTAGACTGGTATTGTGTAATTTTGATATCTTTGTCGCAATATACTGCGGCACGGTTCGTATATCTGATTCCCATACATACATATATACCAAGTGAAAGTGATGCTGAGTATCCTAGTGTATCTAACTGCTGTTCCTGTCAACTTATCTTTCGTTCGTAGAATGCCTGGACCCGCACACACGAGCCACGGCAGCTCTAGGGTTGAGCAGAAGGACGGTGACTGGACCTGTCCCCAGTGCAACTTCCACAACTTTGCCCGCAACTACGAGTGCAAACAGTGTCGACTACCCAATACCGGAGATTTCTCGCCCGTATCACGTGGTCCTCCCGCCGGAGGGTAAGTACTTCTGAAAGAAAGTGCAGTAACAAGTGCTGTGTATACAATGTTTTGCGGTGGTTTAATTTCGCTGTGTTTTGAAACAATACTGATATGTTCTCGCCCGTCATGTGGCGCTCCCTCTGGTCGTGTCGGCGGAGGGTAAGTGCTTCTGAATGAAGGAAAGTTATTGGGAAATGATTAACGATTATAGATTTGCACGTCTCTGATATGAACTAATCCTACTCTTTGGCATACTAGTTATCAAATTGTACGTACCAGAGCCCTGTGTAGACCATGAGTTTTGTTTCGATTATCACGGCACGTCCTTACTCTGTGGCCTGTGTATCTAACGAACCAGTTATGATGCTCACATAGTATATAGCTTCTGGCAAAGACATCACGTGGCGGGTATTATCTGTATCGGATAGTGTATGCATGATCACACCTGCGTATCCCTTTCTAACTCTGCACACATATTGACCTCTCATTACACAGTGCACCTTCTGGCAATTTCAAGGAAGGCGACTGGAACTGTCCTGGCTGTGGCTTCCACAACTTCGCGCGAAACCACTACTGTAAAGATTGTAGTGTACCCCGGCCATTCCCGGATGCATAAAGCTATATATTTCTATGAGACATTTTTCATTCTGAGCCACACCCAAGACCAGCAATCAATGATAGTCTCTAGTAGAGAAGAATTTTGTGTGTGCAATGAGTATCTGAAATATTTATTATTATGTATGTAGATTAACAACTCAATAGGTGTCCTGTGTATTAATTATCTGCATGTAGATTAGTATCTAACTTTTCCAACATGTCTTGCAAACTGCCCAGGTGCTTTCGAGCGAGTGAGTAGCTAGTAGTAGTGAATGTTTTGTGCATGCACTTTACGGCATATAGAAAACTTCTTGACTATGCCGCAGTTAGATATTTTATGGAAGCCGCAGTAGTAAAGCACTTCGTAGACATGTCAATTACACAAATTTGTCCTTCTTCTCGATAGAATTCAGGTCTCAGGACAATCAGACCCTGGATTGCGGGTATATACATTTCATCAGTCGCACATGGTATACTCTATAGGATTAGAACTATATGCTGCGATGTCTATTTGCTAGACCTGAGTGATTATACAAGGTATTCGCCATGTCTCTCAATCAAAAATAGCTGCAAAACATTACTCGCCGATTTGATCAAACGCACAAACCTGGCTACTAACTAGAAATATTGTACATACATAGGTTTTCTGAGTTTAGAAGTTTTGTATATATCAGTAGAAAAAGTAAACAGATTTAGCATTTTTGGGATATATATGTATAGTCCCGTCACGCCATGTTTCTCTTACCATCCCGAAATCTCATGTTATCTGGTAGTGTAGCCGTGACAACGGGGTAAAATTTAAAACTGGTAAGAAACGTATTTTCAAAACATTCCACGCTTGAACTGGATAATTCCCCAGCGTTGGTGTCGAGTCAGCGGCCAGCAAGTCCTCAGGCCTCACGGCCTCGGCTCACCTCAAGCCTATTCAACATGTTCAATCCCCTGCTTCTCTCCGATTTACAACACACTGTGACTGAAGTCTGAACAAGTGATATTTTTAAAACTGAACAGGTTTCGCTGCCTTGATTCAGATTTTTTTCGGTATTTCTGAAATGTCAAATAAATATGTACCAAAAAAGCGTATGTATTCAAATCTCTTTTGACACTCACTTTTCATTCCAAAAACTAATTAATAGCGGTAAATGAACGACAATGATTGGTGCGGAGTGAATATAAGCGAATGACACGCACCATAGGACTTGTTTTTAGATAAATAAAAATTTAAGGTAGAAGTCCATCAGCACCCAAATATTATTTAAAATACACCCACACAGGTCCAAACCAAAATAAACACTTTTGAAAAGAACGTATACTTTTAAAAAATATAGATAGCTGACTCGACACTCGGTGAGTCGGCGACCGGCGTTCAACAAGCGTTGCAGTTGCGGTGCAGTACAGTACTGCAGTTTGCACATAATTTAATTTAACCTGACCGCCTTGCCCCCTGCGGGCTGCGGCTGACACTGACTGTCGACAACTCAAGTGACAGCTTGACTCAACCGTCTCAACTCTTCAAGTCTCAACTCTCAAATCTCAAAATCGTTTTTACAATAAAGTTTTCAACAAGTTAAAAAAATGACAAACAAGTATTTCATCAGTCCGTGCTGCTATTCATTATATTTATTTTCTTATTTATTTATTTCTAAAATGTTTTATCGTCCATAACTTTTCACAATTACGCCACCGCCTCCACTCATAAGAGATTACAACTGCATCGATTCACGAGATTGCCTTCTAAAGTTCTAAATATTGTCATACTCAGTATTTACACTATCTATCAACCACGAACACATGCACTCTCGTAAGCACGTTCGTTGATTGGAAGTCACAGTTCACATAAATACACACACATTGACATCTTGTTCCGCAAGTTGATCGCAGAGCGTTGTATTACCTATTAGTAGCAACCCACAGGCACCACATTACTTAGCCTAATACATCGTTGTCAAGGAGTAGAGATATGGATAGATACAGTCTAGAGCTCACACCAGTATTATTCCCATCTATCAACCTTTCTACCTGTAAGCACATATATAGATATAGTAGTAAGTGCTGTGATCACAATATTTCGTGTATTGACACAAACTGGTACTCTTTACAAGGATAATATCAATACGTCGACAGTAACTGTCATATGTTGCATAGATAAGCATACACAGTTAGTCGACACTAAATAACACATCCCCTTAGACAATATTTCCTAGTCTTTGTATACGAGCATTATATTTAAATATATAAATATACGTACACCTACATATAACTCTTCTATATATGTATCAAGCAATATTTATGCACACGTACGTAAACGGGAGCCTGATTGTGGTCGTGTGCGCGAGGGCATCGAATCTAATGATAAATAAGCGCAGGTACGTACATTTATAATTGTAAAGAAAGAAGCTGTCTTCCGCTGAGCTCATTGTATTGCGTTTGAATAAGTATAACTTGTACATGGAAGAGGCTGAACATGAATTTGTACTTTTATATCAAAAGGTCTCCAGGAACGTTGGGAATGATATCATCCTTGATTTCACTAGCTACTCTACCTGTAAGATGCGCTCTAACCTTGCAGACCGCAATGCATTTCCTTTTTTCGTTTGAACGGGAATATGATCGGCCTTGATATATATCTATATAAATATCTATATATATACATATATATATATAATATGTGTGTGTGTCTGTCTGTCTGTCTGTCTGTGTGTGTGTGTGCACGTGTGTGTGTGTCTGTATAAATATATGTAAATATATATGTATATGCTCATGTATGTCTGTATATATATATATAATACTTTATATATATATCATATTCTATGCTATATATTATACATTGTATATATTATACATTATATATATATATATATATGCTCATGTGTGTTTAATTTTGTATCGATGTCTATAAATTTACAAATACATTATCGTATGGAAGAGTTTATTTAAAACTTAAATTCATTGCTCGTCATTATATATGTATGTATGTATGTATATATATTATTATATTATCATTATATTATAGATGTGAGTGTGTGTGTACACACGTGTGTATGCATATATATATATATATATATATATATATATGTGTGTGTGTATATATAGTAAG